GCTAAAAGCTAAGATTGCCAATACAGTAGTTTTTCTGGTTTTAACTACACACATTAACAAAACAGTAACTAAAAACTAAAACCAAAAAAACAGTAGCTAAATGCTAAAACTAGCATCAGCAAAAATTAACAAGACAAAAGCTAAAAGTAGCATAGAAGTAACTTAAAACTAAAACCCTAACCTTAATTATTTAAAACAAAAGAGCAGCTTATAGCTAAGATCAGGTAGAATAGTAACTAAAAGCTAAAAACCAGGACAGTAGTAGCTAAAAGATGACATTAGTAATACAGTAGCAAAACGAAGCTAAAACCAGCCAAATAGTAGCTTAAAACTAAAAACGAACAAAACAGTAGCTATAGGCTAAAACCAGTTAAAATAATAACTAAAAGTAAAAAATTAAATAAACAGTAGAACAGTAGCTAAAAGCTAAGATTGCCAATACAGTAGTTTTTCTGGTTTTAACTATAAAGCTAAAAATAACAAAACAGTAACTAAAAGTCAAGGTCATCAAATTTGTAGCTGAAAAACTAAAATTAAAGCTAGTATCCATAAAGGTGAACAAATCTCAATGTTTCTTTAAATATAAATAAAACATAATCTTTCAACATGTTTAAAAGTTAGAAAACCTAAAAGTCAGAGCTGTAACATCCTGAACGAGCCGAACATTTTGACATCTGAAAGTCAGAAACAGCTAAAGGTCTACTGAAGTAATTTGAGTCCATAATAAACTCTAATCAAAAGCAGTGTGAACACAGTAAGTCTGACCTGTAAAGGTCTGACAGGTGAACAGGTCTCAGCTGTGTCAGGGTCACAGGTAAACCCTCTCAGGTTGTTGATCAGGTAAACAACAGTCAGCTTAATACATATAAACATTTAATCATAACAGAGAAGTTACAGCAAACAGACGGAGGAGTACAAAGGTGTGTCCCGACAAAGAACAACAGAATTAAATGAGTTAAACGGCAGCAGCTGCAGAGCATGTTCAGGAATGAAGACCTGCCGGATCCGTCCAGCGCCTGAGGTGGTTCACCAGGTAAAGACAAACAACTCCTGACAGGAACAAACAGTAAAAACACCGCGATCCAGGAGCTCATCCCAGGGCTCGGTCAGAAACAGCCCAGGATCGGATCTGAAATCTGGATTTGAAGTTAAATCTGTCTGATTTGATGAAGACGTGGCGGTGGAGTCTGCCGACCCAACAGAACACAGGTGCTTCTCCTCACCTGACCTGCAGGTTCTTCCTTCACACCTGTTCTGATTCAGACCAACGCACGTCACCGAGAACAACAAACAACAACATGAGGCTACAACAATCTGCACACGAGGAGGATAAGGGAAGCGGCGGATCATTGTGTAGTTTAACACAAGAGTACAGCACATTATACAGTCGTCAACAAACTATTATACTGCAATATATAGCAATGGTCCAGACAAGCAGACCTTGTTTCACTTTGACCTTAATTTGTGAACTTGACCCTGGAGTTGGAATTCATTCATTCAACCTTTATTTAGACAGGTTAATCCCATTGAGCCTCGAGGACTCATTTACAAGAGAGACCTGATTTCAACAAAGAGTGATGACAACAATGGACAATCATAAAAGAGGCATACAGATATTTTTTTAAACAAATTAAAATAAGATGGCAAAAATAGTAAAAATAGCTAGATCATAAGGCGAATGTAGAAATCTAAAAACAGGAACATGTCTGCATTGGTCCTTGCCAGGAGTCCAACAGATGTTTAAAGCCACTTAGAGAGGTCAAGGTCGAGAGCTTCAGATCTTTTTGCAAGATATTCCAGGAAATAGGAGCGGTAGGAGAAGGCCCTTTTGCCAAGTTCAGTCTGCACTGAGGGAACACTGCAGGTAATAATGTCCTGAGAGCGCACGCTGTAACTGCACTCACGCAGAGACATGTAGGAGGAGATGTATGAAGGCAACAGACCAAGAAGTGATTTAAAGATGAAGATGTACCAGTGAGAGAGTCTGTGTGAAGTTAACGATGTCCAGCCAACCAGCAAATACAGGGTGCAGTGGTGGGTACGATAATCACAGCCAGTTATGAATCTTAGTGCACCAAGGTAGGCAGCATCCAACATCTGCAGGGTGCTTGTAGGAGCATTCATGTAAATAATGTCACCGTAGTCAATGGAGGGAAGGAAAGTCACAGTTACAAGGTGTTTCCTAGCGTTCAAAATTAGACAAGATCCATTTCTGAAACAGAAACCCAGTTTAACCTTCAGTTTCTTTACTAGATTTTCCACATGGAGCTTAAAAGAGAGATGCGAGTCGACCAAGATACTCAAATATTTATAGGAATCAACAAACTCAATAGGGATACCATTTGAGGATAAAATCAGAGAAAGAACAGCTGGAACTGACTTCCTGTTTGTAAAAAGCATCCCTTTGGTTTTATCAACATTTAAGACAAGTTTGAGACGGAACAAATCTGACTGAATGATGTTGAATGCGGATTGCAAAAGCTGGAAAGCCTTAGCAACTGTTTTAGCATGACAATAAACAACGGTGTCATCAGCATAGAAAGGATGTATGGATGCATCAGGGATGCTCTGACCTACATTACCTATGTAGATTGTAAAGAGGGTGGGTCCTAAGACTGAGCCTTGCGATACACCATTGTTGACTGTTAAATAACTGGAGGAAATGCCATTATGTTGAACGCATTGCCTCCAATCTGAAAGATATTTAGAGAACCAATCAATGGTGTGTTCTGAGAAACCGATTTCTGAGAGCTTATGACACAAGATGTTATGATCCACAGTGTCAAAAGCTTTAGACAGGTCTAAGAAAAGTGCAGCACAATAATCCTTAGCATCCAGTGCTTCAACGTCATTAAAAACCTTTGGTGAAGCAATCGTTGTGCTGCGTTGTTTCCTGAAAGCAGGTTGATGGAGAGGTAAGATGTTAAGAGTCCAGGTAATTTTTGATTTGAGAGTTTATCAGTTTTTCTAGAACCTTGGCTAAATTCAAAAAATGTTCAATACAAAAACAACTGGATTTTATTTGTAACAGAAGACGTTTCGCTCCTCATCCGAGGAGCTTTCTCAATTCAATGAGCAGAAATGAGAGATTCAGGTTATAAGGCTGAGTGAGATAAGACACACACACATATGTAGATTTGACAAGTCACACATCAACACCTTAACAGTAGGGGGTTTCTTAAGGTCTTTGTTACTCTAATTCACAGATGAGACCCATCTGTTCCCATCAAGTGCGAAAACCGGCTGGGAATAGAGAAATCAAGTGAATAGAGGAATCAAGTGTGTTTCCTATTGTCTGCATTCCTATGAGCTTGTTTCCTAATGGCTGGTTTCCTATGAGCTGGTTTTTTATTGGCTGGTTTCCTATTAGGTGGTTTCTTATTAGTTGATTTCTTATTGGCTGGTTTCCTATTGGCTGGTTTCCTATTAGCTGGTTCCCTATTGGCTGGTTACCTATTGGCTGGTTTCCTATTAGCTGGTTTCTTATTAGTTGGTTTCCTATTGGCTGGTTACCTA